AAGATACTAATGGTGAGCTGAAGGCTAAGGACCAAAGCATATCTTCATCATAATGCAAACTTGCTTTAAATTTGACAGCTGTAAGAGTACACTTCCCACATTTAGGCTCAGTGGCCTTAGTCAGAAATGTAAGAAGCCAAGACATGCCAAGTCCAGCCATTTAGACTGCTTGAGCTGCCAACTACCTGCAGGTAAAACCATGCAGGAGCAGAGGGGTGAGACAGCCCAGTATGACAGATAACACTATGGTGTCCTAAATCAGGAGGGGATTTTTTATTACCTCTTTTTTTTAATTACCTGTTTATCAGGCAAACAGAAACTACAGGTGTCTGGACATGTACTTCATGTGGAAACTTCTTCCTTACTTTATAACATGAAAGTTGATGCTTCTTAAGACAGCCTCCCTTCTATTTCAGTAGTTTTGAGCTCTAACTCCTAACAACTGATGCAAACCCAGCAGGTGCATGACTGACTTAAAAGTAACTTAATGGTTCTGCCATGTTCAAAAAACATTCGTGGCTGAAAGCAATTGCACACAAAAAGAATTTTATTATGTTTTATAAATATCTTTCAGGGGATGGCAATATGTAGCTGTGCTAACAGAGAAATTTTCAGTCTGCTTTTCTGAATGTGTGAATGTGGAAACATGAGGCAAACACACCTAAACAAAAGTTGAGACCTAAAATAACCACACAGAATTCTCCTTTCGCACTCACTTTGGATTAGCATGATCAAAAAGTGTGATGAACAGAACCTTCACTTGAGGACCAAAGACTTGCTGTCTCATCTTAGTGTATTAAGATGTCAAAAAAACGTGGTCATACATAAAGACACAAAATTAAGATATTACCTAAAATGGCAACCTGTACTACTAGTGCCTTAGGAAATGCCTATTTTAGCTGTTGCTCAATTTCAGTGAACAGATGGAAGCATTTAATGTTTGGGCAACAATAATTATTTCTCAATAATTCAGTAATTTTGTAATAACATCAAGGTAACCTGAAAAGCAGATAAGAATGCCTACTTTTCAGGGAACTGAGATATGCACAACCTGATGTGGCTAATTCAACACCCCATCATCAGCATACTCTTGTTGACATTCTGCATTAGCAGGTACGAATAAGAGTGCTCAAAGTCTTTCTTCAAGTGTAGTAGCTACAGGTTTTTTGAGAGTTACGTTTTTGAATACTTCCAGTAGCACGTACCTCTTTGTCGTGGTTTAAACCCAGTCAGTACCAGCTACTAAGAAGGAGAAAAAAATGACTGCTACTGCTAAACACAGGACACTCTTCAAAAATTTGAATGCTACAGAAAATGAGTCACACACAAACCCAGAGTTTCAGAGAAAATTAAGAAAGCCTGATGTACTTTTGAAAAAGCCAACACAAGCACTATTAAAATTAACCTCCATTGTGTTGTTATAATGTGAAACATCTAACAAAGCCACGATGCAAAATATGAACTTTACTAAAACAGCCCTAACACTGTGTAAGTTCATATACTTAACAGTTAGCTGTTACTAAATGGAATGACTGAATTAGTAATTTTTAATTGGGGTTCCAAATAGTCAACACAAATCAGACAGTCTTCTGAATTACTTATTTTTTTAACTATAAACATGTCCTCTGCTGAACTATCAACGTTAGGTACCAGTGCTTTGCTGTAAAGCAATGTTCATCTACTCCAGGTAAAGAATTTATCCTAAAACACACATGAAACTGTAGTAAATGGAAACAGTCAAATAATTTGTAACTGCTGTAGGTAAGCCCAATTAAGCACACTATGATAAACACAGTAGGATAAAAAAAGTCTGTACTTCAGCACCTTAAAGTATTTCAGGTAACAGATGAAAATGATCAGTTTGAAACAAGATTTTTTCTTTAGACAGACTTACGGTTTATTCTTAGAAAGAAACCTTAAATACAGAAAATATGACTTCACCTGCACAGAAGTAATACTGTAATCTAGTATTCCTCATATCATCATCAGGAACTATTGTTATAACCCATGTACCAACATATTTTATTCAGTATCTCTTCCCACTTGATGTAACCAAGTCATTTTGTGGCAGTTAATCTGGCAGCACAGAATAAACTATCTTTTCTACTTCATCAGTTTTATTCATTTATACAAATCCCACAGCAACCTCTGAATTTGTTGCAACCATACACTGAATAGCAGTCAGAGCTCTTGCAACACAGGTCCTAAAGCTGAAAATACAAACTTTATGTGCAAGTATGAAAGAATACAAGTCTGTCGAAGCAGTCAGATTTCACTGTGGTCTTCTAAATTCTTCTCAGGCAAACAGCACAGCTCTTTACTAATGGCAGACTGTTGAGCAGCTCTGTGTAAGTTTTGCTGATATGTTTGATAGAAATGGTTTTTGGTAGCATATTTTCCAGACGCTATTTATGAGAAGACTAACACATAAAACTAACAAAAAGGAATAGAAGCTTATTTTAATCTCTGCTTTCAAATTTTTGTGTCGTCAGCAACAGAGGATAACTTGGGAGCTCTCAGGTATGTAACTAGGTATGAAGAGGCATGCCAAGCAGTAGATCCAACACACCTTCACAGCAAAGATATGCCCAGACCAAAATGACTACGGGAACAGGCAGGGACTGTTACACTGTAAAGACGGTATGAGGCATAGGAGTTTTGAGAAGCTAAAGTAAACTGAAAAGCTGAACAGGTAGAACTTTATTTCATTAACTTCCCACTGTTAGAATAGCAGTACTTTCAAAAATCTTAATCCATGAAGCTTTTTGGAACTATAGCAAAATAATTTAACATCATTATGCCACTATGGAGTTGAGGTCAGATGTACTGACATGTTTTACATGAATTTTGAATATCCCTAGCATTAAGTTATTTGACATTCATGGAATCGTCTCTGGTTAAGCTGAATAGCAATACGTTACTACAGGTTGTATTTTAGAAACTGCAATACTGCAAGCTTAGCAAGGAATTCAGGATTTCAGGTATCTCATATTATTGTAAAGGCACTGTATGTACATTTACATACATTAGCTGTTATAATGGAAAAGTTATTCAGTGATTTACAAGCATAGCACTTAAGCACAACTATCAGCTTTGAAACCTATCAATCTGATTTTTTCTTTCTTTTTTTTTTAGCTAGCACTAGCACAAGAAGTTCTGGCATGGATTATTTTCAGTTTGCACATATTTAAAGCCAGTGCTGACTGCCTGGACAGCTGATTTAAAATTGTCATGTTCCCTTTAACAGAGCAAGATTTACAAGAGGGCCATAAAGATTTCCTGTACTATTAACTGTTTTATTTCCAGCACCTTAGGAAAGGCTCATCTTCTCTTTTCCCTAGGTATCAAAGCAACTTTTTCAAATCACTGAAAATTGTAACAGGACTTCCTAGAGGCAATGTGCCTCCTTGCTCTTTATCCCATATACACTATAAGCATGGATATCCCAGGATTTATCAATGGCAAAGCAAAACATTTCTCTCTGGGAGCTGGCCTGACAACCATCTACTGACTCCTGCAATGGAAAGTATACAACATTTCAAAACTACTTTCACTCTCCCAGGCTCCCTGGCCTGGCAGCTCAGAGCTCAGACCACTGCTCAGGCCTGAGCCTTTACAGTCACCAGCACCATGGAGCAAAGCTAATGCACCAAGACAGCTGCGTGGGGAAGAGGTAGAGTCACCATCCCGTGAGGGATTTAGAAGACGTGTATATGTGGTGCTTCACAACATGGTTTAATGGTGGACTTGGCAGTGCCAGGTTAACAGCTGCACTTGATCTTCGAGGTCTTTTCCAATCCAAACAATACTATGAAATGCTGATCAAATTCACGGTTGTGACTAAATAATCTGTATCCCTATCCAACCAATAATTGAGCTGAAGAACAGTGATTTAAAAATGTTGTTCATAGAAAATGATGGGAAAGATGGGCAAAACCCCAAGCATGTGAAACTGAGAAAGAACTGTAAGTACTGTACAAAGCTATGTCCTGTTTAACCCCAGGTGCCTGCTGCACCCAAGATCATCTCTGCAGACAAATCCTGATCTTGATATCGAACTGTAAACACAGGATACAAAGACTCGCTCTACTCTCCTAGACCCTGGAGACATCTCTCCTTTGCCACTCTCCCTGAGGATGGACAGCATTCCCCAGCAGTTTCTTACCCCTCAGAGCACACAGAAAACCAAGGGACTGCATTGAGGACAAACAACCTGCTCTTTACTGGTCTTGTGCAAGCTCAGATGCTTGATGCTGTTTTGCAAGGGCTATTTTTTTTTTTTGCACTTCTTAATTATCAACTTACACTTTCTCTGCATTTCCCTTGTTTGTATCAATAAGTAGTTACTGTATTTCTGGATTTAATAACATGCCAGGGATTAACGTAACTCTGGTCTTAGATTGCGCTCTTCAGAAGGGACAAAAAAGAACAGGCATCTCATTTATTTCTGGTATCTTTCGTCTTAACAGCAATGCTAAATAGATTCTTCCATTTTTTGTACAAAAGGTGATACTGCTGTTCAGGTACATATGAAGTTACCAGATAGCTTTCTGGAATGCTATTTTATTTCAACAGAAACTTGTTAAGTGTAAATAGTTTACAAAATTAAGAAGCAGGATGAAATCATGAAAGCAACCAGAACTAACACCATATGATGTTAAGGTAAAATATTTTGTAAGCATTTCTCTGATATAATCAGATTTCTCTATGCTTTTTCAGAAGGACTCATTCCATCTCCCGCTCTCCCTGCTGCCAGTCCCATCTCCCTTAGCATAGGAAACAATTCTTCAAACTGCAGAAAACAAGCTGAAAGTCTATTAATTCCGACATAGTCACCAGATAATTACCTTCCCTTAGCATCATGTATATTATGTAAAACTCACCAAGTGCTGTTACTACTGGGCAGGCGTCACTCCTGCAGCCCACATGTGACACTTCTTTCTGCCCCTCTAATCGTCCCACACACAACCTATGTATACCCAACTGTTCAGGTACCGTACCTTTAATGGGTGAAGTTATCCAGCATTAAGCTTCTTTCTAGAAGCCTTCTTCGGAATGCTGCAAAACTGGTATTTTTTAAACAGCTAACGAGTACAAGTTCTCCCAAACTGATTTACTTGGGTTTACCTCCTCCTGGATACGCAGTGATATATCATGCAACAGAAACATACAGTTTCTGTCAAAGGCCTTGGCACAATCTGGGACTTGAAGCACTGAGAACCACTGCCCATGCAAAATGCAAGTGTCCATATAAAAGCACTAGCTGTTGATGTCCTACTATCATATGTTTTACTCACCACCACACTAGTGAAACACTAAAACAGCACTTCACACAGAATGGAAATGCTCTCCTGATGAGTCATCATGACTTTTCTTTCCTTTTTGGCACCATTAGGGATCACAGCAAATTAACAGGCATGCAAGAAAGTTCTCTTCCTGCATCCCAAATCTCTAAAGCCATTTTTGGACTTGTATGCGTGAACCATTGAAAGAACAACGGATGAAGAGACAGTCTGATTCCTGAAAAGGACTGGCCAAAGGCCTTCAATCTTGTATTCCTGTCAAAATACATCCAAAGATATCGTATGTGAAATCTACCAAAAGCTGTTAAAAAGGAAATCAACCTAATGAGGTAGACAGCTAGTTCTACCATTCTTTATGATATAGTTATGAAATGTTAAAAGTGCAAATCATATGGACCCTAGAGATCACTAACATCTGCATTTGAAATGACACTAAGATTATGCATTTGAGGGTGAGGCAACTGAAAATTATGTAAAGTTTAAGTTCTAATTTCAAAGACTACCTTGAAGGTAGTAGCATCTATTTAGTATTTTAGTATATTGTCTTTAAAAGCATGGATTAGGTTTGGGGTTTTAGTGTACTCTCTTCCTTCCAAGTCTTGAAAGCATTAACTCAGCATTCTCTGCTTTAAGCTTTCAGAAATACTTCTGTATTTTGTTTTACTGCCAAGCCTTTAACTGCAGTGGACAAGGCCAAGCTCAGTGTATACTGCCTCCACAGGGTCGACTGGGGTAGGAGAGAGGTAAGTGGAACCTGCCTGATAATGGGTGTTTTAAGTACCCAGGGGTAAAGGACTGTCTGTCTACTCTTTAATATCTCCTGTGGCAACTGCAAGGCCAGACACTAATTTTTGCAGTGCTCCTCTTCAGCAGACACAGAGAAGGAAACTTAGAGGGGTACACAACAAATGCATACAATATAGATTTAGATAAATCTCAATGAATCAGAGGTTACCTCACCATTTACATTTGTTGGCCAAACCCTGAATCTAGTAGTGTTTTAAACTTAAATCACCAAGTTGCTGAAGTTATGGAAAAATTTACTGTAAAAAACAATCCAAGTTTGTGTTCTCTAAAAAAATCTTCACAAAAGAAACTCATTAGAAATATCTTTAACACTCCCCCACAATCTTTATTTTCTACCTTCTATCAGGGCAAAAGAATCAAGGAAATGAATGAGAGAGATGGCTTCAGCATTCAGTGTTCTTTAATGTTGCCAATAAACAATTTTTAGATGGGACAAAATACTAGGTAAGTTTAAGGAAATATAAGAAAAAAATAAAGTGATACAGAATCTCTAGTCTAGAGCTCATATTCCAAAACATGCTGCAAAAATACCTAAATGTGTCAAATCCATAAGGGCCAGATATTTCGAACAAGATGCCTACCCAGAACGTAGCAACAAGACACATTTCAATCAACACAGCGCTGTACTTCACGAACATAACTGAAATGCTTTTTCAGTTCTACCACCTATTTCCATAGAGCCAGGACCTAACTCCCATTTAAGTGACTGTATATGATCAATGCCTGTACCCTTAAATTTGCTTGCTTTAAAAAATCACCTTTTCATCATCACTGCATGACCACATTTAGTTCAGTGCTAAAACACATAGTTCAATCCTAGATGCAGGCTTCACAAATTTCTGTTCCTACCTAAACAAATAATTATTGTCATGTCAGTCCAGCAAATATTTTGTATCCTGTGATTTGGTTCCTGCACCTCCCTACAACCCTCTGCCCCTTTTCAGTGAATACATCCCATTATTTTAAATACTGTATGAACTTGAATCTAAGCTAAAACTTGCTCTAGGGAACACAATCCTGCTAAGTCCAACATGTAAGGAAGAACTTACAGCCCTTGCAGCCTCTCCTTCCCTCCCTTCCTACTGGCTCACTTGCCAGCAAGTATGATTCCCAGGCTGAGGGGCTGAACTGGCTTTAGCTTCTTATATGTACTTCTGGATTTAAGAAGTGGTCATGGTGGAGGAAGTCAGACACTTCTTTCCTTCCAGTCAAAAATGTAATCCACCTGACCCAAACCCAAAAGTCATTTACAGCTTTAGCTGCTCCTTCAGAAGGGCTCTGTGACAGGATAGACAAGACCATGTGGTCACAGACCACTGAGGGCTTCTGCACAAGACTGTATGCTCTAAATATACAGCAATGGAATTTTTCCCCATCACAGAATTTTGTGTTTAACTATATATTGTTGTTTAGTCTGAAGAAGGAAAGGCTCAGGGGGAACCTTATCACTCACAACAACTACCTGAAAGGATGATGGAGAGAGGAAGCAGCTGATCTCTTCTCCCAAGTAACTAGTGATATGACAAGGGGTAATGGCCTGAAGCTGCTCCAGGGGAAGTTCAGACTGGATATGAGGAAAAATTTCTTCACTGAAAGAACAGGTATTGGAACAGGCTTCCCAGGGAAGTGGCGAAATCACTGTCCCTGGAAGCATTAAAAAACCATATAGATGAGGCCATCAGTGATAAGATTTAATGGTGGACTTGGCATTCCCGGGGTAACGGTTGGACTTGATGATCTTAAAGGTCTTTTCCAACCTAGCTGATTCTATGAGTCCGTATCTGAGGCAGCACTAGCCTTAATAAATACTTTAGCATCCAAAATATAAATTCTACTTAACATCTACTACATTGTTTCTAGCAGCAACTTAGGGGATAAAACAAGTAAGACATGTCAGTAATAATGCTGCCAACTTTGCACGCTAGGTATCAACTTCATGCTAGAGAGCACTAGCAAAAGTATCCTAGGCTGTGTCTCTTAGCACACTGGATGGCACATCATTCTCACATAAATGGCTTTCACAAACATTTCCCAGTTGGCATTATTTTTTCCTTTTTGAAAATAGTGCAAGAAAATGTGAAAGCATGTGTACAACTAAAGGAGTTGAAGAAAGTAAACTGCTCTAGAACAAGCAAGAATACAATTATGAAAGATTTAGTACATATTATCAGAAAGAAAATATTTAAGCCCTTCTACATGAAAGGAAAAGCAGTTTTGATTTTATACAAAACGCAATTCCTTGCTATTATAAGTAATTACGCATGGAAGCACTTCTGGGTGATATAGTGAGCTCGCTATCACTTCAGGGCTTTGAAGCAACATCATGTACCTTTTGAATAGACAAGGTTTAAATTTGGTTTTGCAAAAACTGACAGTCTGCATGCTGAAGGAAGCCAGACAAAAGTCACTGTGGTCTCTCCTGGCCCTTGGGTTTTTAAATTCCCTTCTTCTCTTCTTAGATACCTAGAAAAAAACGGGACCTGTCTTGGGCAGGAAAGTAAAATAAGCAGGGTACAGCTAAAGACAAATGACACAACTAAAGAATCTATGTCCATTTGAAGGCATCACTCCCATCTTCACTTGAAGATATGCTTTTACAACACGTATTTCTAGTTTGAAAACATTTTATCATTGATCAGTTGCACTCTTTCACATAAGAACTCAAATACAATGTGGTGCATTAAGCATGTGTTTACAGAGTCTGCTTCACCAAGGCAGCAGGCAGCAGCTATGGAAAATGCAGCTTATCTCTCTTCATTCACCCTGCCTCCCAAATGAGCCCCATCTCATGTGGCGTGTAGTCTAGATGTCTGGACCTTGCTCCCTCAGTCTTTACCAAATTGCTCCCTACCCCCCTCCCTGGAGCTGCATCTGGACTGGTTAAATTGTAATTATAAATCATCTTTTACTGTTTCAGATGAAATTTTAGTTCTGCATTCCTGTAGCACAAATCAAAACTATTCATAAAGAACACATAATTTCATATGTTTAGATGGGACAGTCATGATAATCTAATCTGAGGGCAGTGAACCTCATCTGGAAACACATGACGAACCACAGCACCTCTCCTATGGAGACAGGCTGAGAGCTGGGCTTGTTCAGCCTGGAGAAGAGAAGGCTCTGGGAAGGCCTTAGAGTAGCTGCCAGTACCTAAAGGGGCCAGGAAGAAACATGGAGAGTGGCTTTTTATAAGGACATGTAGGGACAGGACAAGGGAGAATGGCTTTCAACTGGCAGAGGGGGATACTTAGGTCAGATATTAGGAAGAAGTTCTTCCCTGTGAGGGTGGTGAGGCTCTGGCACAGGCTGACCCAGAGAAGCTGTGGCTGCCCCATTCTTGTCAGTGTTCAAGGCCAGGTTGGACAGAGCTTTGAGCAACCTGGTCTGGTGGAAGTTGTCCCTGCCCCATGGCAGAGGGATTCAAACTAGATGATCTTTAAGGTCCCTTCCAATCCAAACCACTGCAATATGCTATGAAATCAATGACACTTTTCTTCTCACATTAAACAGAAGATTTCAAAATACTGTATCTTACTGCTGAATGAGAGCCCTACACAACTGTTACAGTGGATATTTAACTTACTTATCTTCAGTTAAACTGGGAACAACTGGTGCATTTTGGAAGATGTACCAGTAAATCATCCTAAAGCAGTGACCCATTTTGCTAACAAGACTCTAGAAAGATCTTTCTTATGTCCTAGAAGGGCAAAAAACCCACTATTTTTCCAAGATCTTTAGTGCCACCATAATGAAACGTCAATATTCTGCTGCTCACATTGTCAACACACGGCTGCCTTATTTTTTTTTATTATTTTAAAGAAAAGGGGACTACATAGGTTTGTTTACAGTGTACTCCCACCATCCTAAAAAAGTAAGCAAAAAATGCAGGGTTTTGGGTTTGGTTGTTTTGTTTGGTTTTTTTTTTTTTCATTGGAAACAGCATTTCTATTTTTCAGTTCTGAAATATATTTCAGCTTTTAGATCATGAACAGAAAGCAATTTAAGAAAAATAATGAAAATCATCATTTTTACATATGTACTACTTCTGCATAATAATTCCCACTGATACTACCAAACAAGAGGAATTAGAGATGTGTGCACGTCTACAGGGGTATGATATAATAGGCATCACAGAAACATGGTGGGATGGCTCCTATGACTGGAGTGTTGGAATGAAAGGTTACAGGCTCTTTAGAAAAGACAGGCCCGGCAGGCAGGGAGGGGGAGTTGCCCTTTATGTTAGGAATAGGCTGGAGAGTATGGAACTCTGTCTGGGGACTGTTGAGCAATTAAAAGAGAGTTTGTGGGTCAGGGTTAAAGGGAAAACAGCGATGGCAGACATTACTGTGGGGATCTGTTATAGACCACCTGATCAAGAGGAATCTGTGCGTGAAGCACTCTATAGACATATAGGAAAAGCCTCACGCTCGCAGGGCCTTGGTCTCATGGGTGACCTCAACCACCCAGACATCTGTTGAAATGCCGGTACGGCCCAGCACAAGCAATCCAGGAGGTTCCTCGATTGTGTGGAAGACAACTTCCTTCTGCAAGTAATAGAGGAACCAACAAGGAGAGGTGCCATGCTTGACCTTGTGCTCACCAACAGGGAAGGGCTCGTTGGAAATGTGGCACTGCAGGGCAGCCTTGGTTGCAGCAACCAT